TCCGTCGCTGATCGCTTCACCTGAGAAGCCATGCTTCTCACTCTCGAGACCTCACATGCAATCAATCGGAGATCCATCTCTCCGGTGAATCATCTTGGTCTCGAGATCTATAAATCGCGACCGTCGCGATGTCTTCTCCCTCCATCGTCTGAATCTGTAACGCCAGAGATTGGTCTATGGCTTAAAGCCATCGCTGCCGACTTCAGTGTGGTGACGAGGAATCTAACATCAACATCTCTTAGCCCAAAACCAGACCCGCGTTTTCTAGAGCCATGCGAGCCCTCTTCACCACCGAAGTTACCATATCCACCGGATCCTCCCCCGGATCCACCAGACCCTTCTCTTGTGGAGGTGCTTCGATCTTCATCTCTGCTCACCGATATGATCCAAAAAATCACCACTCCATCGACCTTTTCCCTCACCTCCATCCTCGACGGGATTTAGGCCCACCACTCCATCCATGGCTAAGATATCAAGGCGAGACTTCTGGTTCATCCAAGTCATGTACGTTTTGGGCTCCGCCGGATATAAACCCACCACAATCTCTCTTGTGGTGGTGGTCCTCAACTACACCAACCTTTCCGATGCTCCCAGAATTAAACGTCCGATCCACCACCGTAAGTCGCTTCATCACCGGTTCTGTTATTGGGCCTGATTGTAGAGGACTTGGCCCATATAAGGGTGTGTTTGTGGATTTGGAAGCTGGTTGTAGTCTAGGATCTTTAAGAAGTTTAGTTGTTTACATTGTTCTAGTGATATCTTTGTTGTTACTAGCTATGTTTAGGGCCAATTTTTGGCTTCTAGAGTTGTAAATCCAGGAATGCTTACTCCTCGATGACTCGAACTAAAATCCTAGCGGTTTTAGTCAAAGATAAAAGGAAAATCTCGTTAGAATTTGAATCCTTCCCAATGATAATTCGAGCCACTTCATTAGGCTCCAAAGTTTCCAAACACCATGGTTTAGTCTGTGGCTCTTTATATCATTCCGAAACATTTGAATTTTTCTGTTTTAGACCTGTGTTGGGTTCGTATGCCCTTGTAACTGATTCTCCAGTTTAATCTAATGAAGAAGATCTTGTTGACAAAAAAAAACAAAAACAAAATACATCTACTCCTTTATTACATGTCTCTTAATTAAATACTTTTATTTTAAATGTGTGATACCATGCATGATAAGTTTTATGAACAATGTTGATTAAAATGAAATTGTATCATGGCATTTTACAAGAACCAACTGATACCCCGTGACAAATTAGACAAATAAAAGATGAAAAAAAGTATATACAACTTAATTCTTGTCAATGTTGCAGATTTATTTTACAAATTGCAACTCATGTATGGTTTAAGCCTAATTTAAGGTAAATATATTATTCTTTGATGGCTTAAACACCGTCTTACATCATTTTTCTGATTCAATCGCCAAAGGTAATACAAGATAAGGAGCAAAATTTTTAAAAAAAAATCGTCGTCGCCTGAGAGATTCGAACTCTCGCGGGAAAACCACATGTACTTAGCATGGCACACGCCTTAACCACTCGGCCACTGCTTTGATATTCCCCTTTCTTATTTATATCTAAAGTAAAATATTTGCAGACGAAGTAAATCCCGTAAGATTGTCTTAAAAGGCCCATGACCAAAAGCCCAATTTAACTTTATTTTCCTTTTTCAGTTTTTTGCCCTTTAAGCTGAGATTTCTATAAGGTACGATTCCAATTCGAAGGTTCCT